CAGTACAACTCTGTAAAATTTTTGCAGTTTTGGTTAAGAAAAAATGTTTAATTTTAACCGTGTTTAAATGTTTAGTACTACTTAAATTTTTCAGCATGCGGTACCTGTTGAACAACCTGCACAATCCTCAAAAAATATTTTCAGCTTTGGTACGTTTAAATTTTTTTTTGAAATTAATGATCATTTTTATTATTTGTTGTATTAAAAAATTAAACACTTTTAGATAAGTCTGATATACAAAGATTGATGGCACGCTCCGAGAACAACGATATCCTTAGCCAAGCGCTGTTGTATGATGGGAGGTACGATGAAAACTGGAAGGGTTTATCCAATTTGACAGGTAAAGAAAAAAGGGGGTTAAAGAACCGGAACGGATGGGTTCGACCTCTCAGTCGGATTTGCGAGAAGGTATATATAGCGTCGTCAATTTGTTGGCATTCTTCAACAAGTTATAATTTTGACTTCTCTAAATTTCTTTTCTTACAGACTGGAATTGACGGTGCTTTTTTTATAAAGAATTCTAACGTAGAATTGACAGAAGCACGAGATTTTGTATTGTTTCAAAGACTTACGACCCCACAAGTGTGTTTTCACCCTGTTTCAAAATTTCTTGTATTGCATATTAAAATAATCAGTGTTCTGTTACGATTAAGTTTATTCTATATAGTGAGAGGCTAAAGTGATTTATTGTTTTTATTTGAAGCTACCTAGTGAGTGGCTGAGTATTGTACGAGAAAATGTCCACAATTATCGTGTAGAAAAGTTTTTCGAATACGAATGGGATGGAAAAGCAATCCAGAGACGTATGATTCATTATTTGAAATGTACAGAAAATGATCGGGATAGACTAGCCATAAATGGACAGTGTAAGCGTTTAAAATGATCTGTACACAAGTAGCTGTTTTTATCGCCTTTTTCTGCTTCTTTTTCACCAGTTTTTTCGAAAATCCTATTTTTTCAACATTTTTAATTATTTTAAAGTTAACATTCTTATCTTTTTTACTTTTTGACAATATAGCTGTTTTAGATTACAATAACATTTATTTGGGTAAACGTATGTATGGGCCTGGAAGAAGGCAGAAGGTTGTGCGGACAATGATCGGCGGTATGGAGCACAGATTTGAGGTTCTTGACAGTCCGATCAATCGGATTATTTTCACCAGCGAAGCATTTCAACGTAATTTGGAAAAGTGCCGCAACAAACGTAAAGAGTTGCTAGACTTTTTTCTTGAGTTGCACAGGTCGGTTTAAAATAATTTTTTGTTCAGGTGTTAAATGTTGCGAAAGTACCCGTGTCGTTTTACATTATCCGGAGAACTGTAACAACGATTTTATCCACGCCAATTATGTCAAAGGTGGCCCGTTGTTCAATGATTTTATCATCACTCAAGTAAGTTTTTGCGCTTAAATTTGCTGCAAGTTCGCATTTAGACGGTTTTTTTCGTTGTTCGAAGTAAAAAATACGGTAAGCAAAAAGAACCAATTTCTCCTTACAAAACGCGAATTGTAATTGGAACATTGTTGCTCATTTGAGGCTCCTATGGCAAATACTATTGGCGACTTCTGGCGCATGGTTTGGCAAGAACAGTCGCCGTATATTATCATGTTGATCAGTCGTAAGGAGAAAAACAGATGTGCACAATATTGGCCAAAGTTTGCTTAAAAGATGTCCCACTTTTTACTCCCCTCAAATGATGTTTTTCACAAATGCTTGTTAAGTTTCCGTGAAACTTTTTTATAAACGATTTTTCAGAACTGTGGGCTCGTCTGTTAAGTGTTACGGGTTAAGAATTATCAACGAGGGCGTCGACGATTATCGTCATCCATTATTTCGAGTGACTTCAATACTGGTAGTTGGTCCAAATGGCAAAGAGGTTTTTTTAATTTGCTTAAAAGCATGTTTCTCTAGTACCCTATTCTCCAAAACTCTTTAAAATACCGAAAATTTTTAAGCTACGAGTAGAACACTGGCAGGGCGACTTCAACAACTCTGATAATTTGGCTGCTCCGTTACAACTGCTGCATCTGATTCGTAATTGTTCTAGACCTACGATAGTTCACTGTCACCTTGGTATCAGCCGAAGTGCTATTTTAGTTGCTATTGAACTATGTGTAGCATCTATACTAAAGGGGCCAACTTATAAAGTATGTTTATTTTTACTCCAGCTACTTACTACAAATAAGTTTTTTTCAAAAGTTGTCACCTTTCAACTTCTAAACTTTGTTTTGTATTTTAGCACCTGGTTCAAAAAGCTGTTTACTTTTTACGGACAAAGAGACCCTTTGCGATTGAAACCCCGATGCAGTACATTTTTATACATCGGGTCCTGCAGTACTTTATTCAGCCGATGGTTGGCGATTTGTATGAATTTCGTCTTGAGTACAGGCAATGGCTTGATGAACGAGCTCAGAGACCTTTCTTGGATGAGGTTGGACAACAGGTGCAATTGTTTTTTACTTTATAAGACAGTACCAACTTTCATGTGGACAACATTTTAAAAATTTTTAGTGTTCACCATGTGCTTCCAATAAAGGAAGCTGCTTAACTACAACGAACGGAGTTGACGCACAATTTTTTTTGTTTGCAGATCCCAGGATATCGGTGTCTCTCTCCCTCAGTTGATGCAGATTTAGTGGTTCGCACGAGGCATGTTGATTTGAATGATTCTTGTAAAGAAATTTCTGATACTGTTGGTCAACTCCCGCTACCAATGGAAATGAGTCACAAATTTAATAGCGAATTGAAGCTGTCCAAAAAGTACCCGCGTGGTCTACGTTATGAGTAAACCGTGCATCTAACCACTGAGTTAAAGTGTTTGTTGAGTTTTAAAGCAGCCCTATATAATCTATAATATACCTCTCTCTACATCGCAGTTGCCACAACTCTCCAGCAGTATTTTTACTGTGTATTAATTGGAGCCTAAATATTATACTAAAATTACTACGAGTCTTCTCTCTATCTGTTTGATGTAACAAATGTTCTTTGAGATGTTTTTTAAACATACACTTCCATCATATCATTCAATTTCTGTTCTTTTTTTCTGTGTTTACTGTTGATATAATCATTCATTTAATAAACTTTATGCTTTCTCGAGCTCCGTTTAGAAGAAAAAGGCTAATTCTAACATTTTTTCAAGACTGACACTTCAAAGCTGCCAACCACTTTAGATATCTTTTAGTAAACTTGAAGCAGGTTTACCAAGATAATTCATCCGCTGTCTAATTAAGCATCCCCACGGCGTTGAACAAAAGCGTTTTAAGCTTTAGTGGTACAAAAAACTAAGCTCTGTTTCAGTTTGGTGGCCCCATCGTTTTTACTGGTTGCAATGAAACAGAGCAACATTTGTCGCGGTTAGAGTTTATTGGTTTTGTAAAGCGAAACAAGGAGAATGTCGCTAAACTGAATGAGCTTCAAACTGCTTCACTCTGCAGCTCAAAAGCCACGTAGTATTCCAAAGATGTAAAGTACCTGCCTCTGCTTTACTAGTAACAGAGATTTGATCTCAGAATGAAATATTTCAACTACAAAAAAATTTCTTCTAAAGTTTTATTCATTTATTTTTATTTTTTTTGACATGAGAAGCATTGGGATGTTGTTTCTTTAACATCCAGGATTATAGCAATTTTCCAGCTAAAGTAATCGTTTCAGTCTGTGAATCTTTAATGCCAAGGGATTTATTCATCTATTACAATTAAAAAAATCAATCCAATATTTATAACAGTAATATGTACAATGTAATTGTTGACCTTTATAGACTGTTTCTGCTGCCACAAGTATTTCAAAAAGAACAAGAAAAGAAAGGAAACAATACTAAACAAATCGAAATAATCCGCTTGTCAATAACCAAGAAATACCACACGATTCGTTACCAATCACAGAACCAATCAAAATTTTTCAGATCGTTTTTGCCTGGAAACCTTCTCTTCTGGAAAATCACGTAAAGTGAGGCCATAAACAGATAAAAATCAAGACAGCCGAGAAGAAAGAAAGTTAAAATTCAGCCAAACACATAGGTACAAGCAAATGATTAATGTGTTTTTGAGGCGCCTCCAATTTTCACTTTACTGTTAGGAGTTTTTTTAGTCTCGGTTTTTACCGCTGCCGTTGTATTTTTCTTGGTTTCCGCAGCATTTTCATAGTCTGGTTCGGGTACCGTCGGTTCTACTGCCATTCCTTTTGACGATGCATTTGTTAGCTATAACGGTATAAAACAGGATAATTTTTCTGTACTGATAATGACCGTTAATGGATAAATGTTCTTATTTAAAAAATTTGCAGTAATTTCAACACATTTTTGCACCATTAAGGCGAACACATCGAATATAACCTCATATCCGTTTTGTAAGACATTTCTGGCACTCAGTAAATTACATCTACAGTCAGGATTATTCCTCAATACAGTTCAATTGGACATAAAGTGGTAAAAGCGTAATTTGTTCAATTTGCGTGACTTGCATCAACAACAATTTGTACCGTTAATACCCAAATATTTCCACAATCATTCATTCCACTTCAGAATTGTCAAGTCAGTTAATAATCAGCGATAAGTACTGCACAAAAGCTTTGAATTATACACCTACCTATATATGTGCAGATTTTCTTTCTTTTCTTTTTAACGATGGTTTAGCAAAGCTGTTTAGCAGTAGTTATTGCAAGTGAAGCAATAAAAAATTTGCCGTTCATTACCAAGAAGAAATTACCTGACTGTCAGAGAAAACATTGGTACGAAACAAGGTAAAGTTGAAAAAAACTACTTATATACCTAAACACTTAAAATTATAACTGATATTGCTAAATTACAACTTATCAGATGTTAATCAGAATATCTGCAGCAACTTTCTTCCTCTTTCCTGCTCTCAGTAACACTTAACTAGACTCCGTATCTCAGCTCATGCTTATGATTAAAAGTTCTAATGAGCTTCATGCTCATATCATCTGATCAAAAGTTACAACAATACAGTAGTTTTTTGTTCTCAAAATCAGTTCATATAGAGCAGCTGTTGCAATAAATGTTATCTAGTCTGCGCAAAAATTTGTACAAACAAGAAGTCCTACTAATACTTCGTGGTGACTCTTGTTAAAGTTTGTAGTCAAATTTTTTATGCCTCTATGCCGGTTACCTAGTTGTATAAGGTAGTTGAACTCTTACATTCATTAGCGGTATTTAATATCAGTTAAACAAAGGAATAGAAGACGGTGAAAAAACATGCAAAAGTAGAAAAATATAAAGAAGAAAACAAAGCTAGCAAAAGAAACTGTTTTTTTACCTGGCAGTTTCGTTGATATTTATTATTGGAACGATCAGCGGCATTTTTCTGTTCAGATTTTGATTTTAATGTAGCTGTTGTTGCTGCCGTTGCTGCTGGTGTTGTTGGAGTTGCTGGAGCTGAGGCCGCTGCTAATGTTGTTGTCGTGGAAGCTACAGATGGTGTGGTGCCAGCATTATCGTCAAGTTTCTCAGATGCTTCCTTAAAATTCCAAAATGCATCTGCTAATGCCGGTCGTCTCGGTCCCATAGATTTTATTTGTATTCCATACTGTGCACCGTCTCGCCTAATGCTCTAAAAATTCTTTTTTTTCTATAATAAAGCAGTAGCTTTTTTTTTTCTTATCCTTTTTTATTTTTTTAGGTCAATAGCAACTGATGTTACACCAGCGTACACGCTGATTTTATAGCCGCAAGGTTGCAGTTCAAAATACGATGTTCGACAAGCAATAATGCAAAGAAAAAGTGAAAGAGTTAAAAGACATTTTGTAGCCATGTCATGACGCTTTTACAGCGAATTCAGACGCCATTCTATCACCCTTACAACAAAAAATAAATATGAAGTGATCGTCAGCAGCGCCAATGCATTCAATAATGACAAATTTTCCCCAAATGCGACAATATCAATCAGTAGGTTAATCTTTTAATGCGAAAAATAAAGCAGGTCCTTCTAAAAAAAGGAAAAAAAAATAAATGAGAAGAATAGCATAACTTCTCATTTTTTAACTCGTATTTTTTTTTTTTATAACTCTGTCAAACTAGACTTCTTTGAGAAGAATGCTTCAATTCCGTAAGCAAAAAAAATTTGAAAATTCATTGAAAAGAAGTAAGGCTGCCAGTCATAAGATTCAAACCAAATGTCACTGATTCCGGTTAAATCGTTAACTGTAACGGCAAAGCATGTTAAATATTCAATAAGACTTCAGTTACAGTTCAAATAAAGCTTGACCAAAAGTCATACAGTCTTCCCTTTCCCTGACTAATCGTATTTTACAACAGGGCTAATACAGTTTCGCTAGCTACCATCAGCCTAACTTTACAACCCATACTTTTAGTTTATTCACTGAAACGACTTCCTCATTGAATTGCCTACACGGTCGTAGTTACTCTTTCCAATGCTCCGCCAAACAAACATCTAATTGGACGATCAATTTTCAGAGTACACCAACTAATAAGAACGTAAATTATGTTTTCATACGCAAAATACGTGTGGTCCAGCACAGAAAAATATTCCAATTCACTTTGAAAATGTCATATAAAAAATAAATAGCTAAACTAAGATTCAAAGATAAAATTTTGCTACTAATTTCATTTATCGTGACAATAAAATTAGCAGCGATAACTAAGTTTAAGTTCTGTGATTCTCTTAACAGTTAAAGTTTTTCCGCTTGTTTAATTCTTCGCAAATTTTTGCTTAAAGCCGATATTCAGTGTGTCGAATAATCTGAATACAGTGTTCTAAACTGATAAAAATCACTTAGAATAACAACAACAAACAATTACTTTGTAGAATCCTTGACGTCCTCTAGTGGTGATGAATTGGAACCCAGGTACATGTGGACGCGGGATTTCCAGTGGGCGAAGATTGCAGAGGGTGTCGCGTACCGCCGTCATTCAGCAACCACTAAATAGCAACAATCAGATAGATGATGACACTGACGATGGTAAGAAGGAGAAGACGTCAACGACAACGGTGACAACAAACAGTGATGATGATGACGACGACGATGATGAAGCTAAATTAGTGTGGTACCAAAAAGAAAACAATCAGACAGGTGTTTTTTCTTTTCGTTCATTGACATCCATTAATGGTTAGAATATTCACACACAGACACCCACAAAAACATCCACACACACACAGCTACATAAATTCATACATATATACATATATAAATACCCAATACAAATACACAAGAACACGAAGAACAAATGCATAACGGTATAATGTCAAAGTTTCTTCTTGATCTTTTCGTTTTTTGTACCTTTGACAGAATTTTTTTCTCTTGAACCCAAGAATCGACAGATTTGTTGGTCAAAGAGGCCTTTTAAGCATAAAAAGAAAAGCTAAACTAAAACGAAAATTGAAGAAGGACAACCGATTCAGAAACAATACCATTGTTTTCAGCTCACCGTGTTTTATTTTTAAATCTAAAAATCATGTCTCCTCACCTTTCTTTACTTTCTTTAATAGAGCAGTAATAATCAAAAATTTTATTCGTTAACACATTACTGAACATAAAAAAAAGTCGTTCAAAAAAAGCAACATATGATTTTTATTACCCAACGTTCTGGTTTTACTGCATAAAAAAAAATAAAAAAAATCATCTTCTGTCAGCAACAAAAAAAAAAAAAGGAACAATATTGAAGGGAAAAGTAGAAGCCGAAACAGCATTTATATGTTATGTGTCACATACTTTTTGCGCTTCAGTAGGCCGTCAAATTGACATCTTTTCCCTTTTTCCAAACATCTTTTTTTCTAAATGAAAGAACTTTTTTTGATAGGTTTTTCTTTAAAAAAACGATATTGCTTCTGCATGTGTTTACTGCACAAAACTATAACAAATGTGGTGGATCAATTGCAGTTTTAATAGAGCTATTTTGTAGCAATCAATAAAGTCATTGTTGGATGAGCAAATAAATAGATTAATGAAATAATAATGAAGGAATGTTATAAAAACTTCTGCTTTTCTTTTTATTTCTACAAATTTAGTTCCTTAAAATTTCAAAATTTGCCTATTTTTGTAAGCGAAAAAAAAAAGTAACGGCTTTTTTATAACATCATTTCAAAAAGCAGTGAAATTTAGCTGGTTAAATTGGCTTGAAATTATAATGTTTTTATGTTAACGCAATAGTAAGTTGTAACTGCAAAAATCAGAAGGAAAAAAGTAGAAGGTTTTGATTTTATTGCTAATATACTAACAACATATCAATAATTTGGTAAAACGCTTACAATTCACCTGAAAAATGCTGACTTTGTTAAAAAAAAAATGCACTCGCCAATTACTAAGTCTGCTTTCTTCTCCTTCTTTTTTTTTCTTTTGCAAATGACAAAATACCGTAGTTGATACTTTTAACAGCTGACACTTTTTCGTGCTTTCATCCTGTAGA